TTGTTTTTTTTTTTTTTTTTTTTTTTTTTTTTTTTTTTGCTGGAAGAACCGCGCCGTGGATTTAAATGAGTAATACTGGGCTTAAGGCGGATTGCTCGAAATAAAATAAAATTAAGAAACAATGTCATTAACTTACTCACGTTTCCGAGAGTTTTTTAAAAAAGGACTTCGCACCTGGTCAAAGATTCATTATTGGTGTTGGGCAGGTAGAAATATTGGCGATTAAAATTTCTGCTTCAAATGATACGGTTTTCTACTGCCTTTGCTGTGATGCAAAATGATCCGATTCGAAACGAAAATTAGTCCGACGAGGTAGATTATTTTATTTTTCTATTGAAATACTCCATTACTGTATTTCCTAACTTCCTCAGTAGAAATTAATACCACGTTCTTGGAAAATTTTAGAAGCCATAGCAAAGAAGGACATCCCCTCTAACAAACTCTGAAATTGGGAGCTGGCATTTTCAATTTGAAACCTCCTTATGAAGTATGTCTGATGACAATCTTGAATAATCGTTCGAGTTCATTTTTTTGAGCTTGAAAAAAAAACAAAGTGTTTTTCTTCTGGAAATTTGTCTTATAAAATAAAACAATTTCAAGAATTGAACACATTTTCATGGAGAAAATTTCGAAATCTGCTTATATTTCGTCAGATGTAGTGCTGTATTTTCAAAGCAAACCACAGTTTTAGGTGTTAGAAAAGGCCAAGCGAATTTTATTCCATGAACGTAGCCAAACAGAGGAGGACGATATCCTCAAATAACCATTAAAATTTCAGGTTTCCAACTGATTAAAAGGTGATCATTCAGTGGAAGATCTTATAAGGCACTGTATATAAATGCCACTGTTTTTTCTCGTCTGGTCCTAATATGATACGAACGTTTTAAGCGGCTGAAAATGTGGATCTGCTTTGCAATTGAGAAGTTCGTGAAAACCATCATACGAACTCTGATCACCAAATGTAAAGAATCAAAGTTTTTTTAATATGTTTGCCACGCGCAATTCTCTTGAAAAATTAGAACCCCAACACATTTGCGGCTATACGCTGTACAGAACTCCGAACAAGAAAGTCGTAGGCGATTCCGCACTTTGATTTTTGAACCACTCTATCTTTCCGCGATTGCAGGAAACATGTCCTCTGTCGTCGAGCCCCCGCGACCAACGCGATTTAGCGTTACGAGTGCCTCAGAAGTGCATGCCTGTGTTGGGAAACGCGGTGGAGATGATGTGAGGGGTTTGTAATTGTTTTGAAGCCTTTAAAATACTTCATCAGCTAACTGTGGCGTTGTTTGATGCACACGATGCTTAAGATTCGCTGGAAAATTGATCACATATGTTTTCAAGCATAGCTCTTTCTCAACTCCGATCGTACGGAGAATGTATGATTCGCGCGGAGTGATCATGATCGCCTCATTTCTGTGGGTGAGGAAGTTTTCCTTTCGCATAATTGACATCTTCTGAATTTGAGATCAGATTCGCCTTCCTGTACGTGAGCATGCAGTGAAGTTGAATTGCTTGTGATGCGAAAGTGGCTCCGACCTCGCATCACAGCGCAAAGCGCGCCATGGATAGTCAGGCTCCTGAAGATTCTGAACTTGAACCGTATTCTCGAAACCCCTTACTATGCTATCTCTGTAACGAAGTTTTCGATGAACCTTGTCTTCTGGGATGTTACCACACCTTCTGCGCCAAATGCGTCAGCGGGAAAGCAGTGGATGGCAAAATCAGCTGTCCATTGTGCGGGTGAGTGTTTCCTGGCAAGTTTTTGTCTTAAAATAGCACTTGGCTCTTCTTTTAATTTTCTCTAGGAAAGTTACAACTTTAAAAGATGGTTCAACTCTTCCTCCGCCTGACTACTTGGTTCACTATGTCGTTGAGTCTTCGAACGATGAAAAGCCTGTCTGTGCCAACTGTGATAAGGCCGACCATCCGCTTATGTTCTTCTGCGACACATGCGGTAAGAGTTGAATCGAAGTTATTTGAAGAAATCGCGAATCCGATTGTTTTTAGGACAAGCATTGTGCGGAGTTTGTCGCGATGAAACACACCGTGCGAAGATGTTCTCACAGCATGATATTATCCACATGTCCAAGCGAACAAAGGAAATTCATAAGAAGGTATTCGGTCCGAACTCAATTTTCGCGAACTACACGGCTGAAGGAAGGGTTCGTGCCTTTAAGGATTTTAAGCATGAAAATAGCTTCTGACAATTTTCTCGTTATTTTGGTTATATTATTCGTACAGTTCTGATTTCGTATCATTCTTTGTTCTCCGAGGTATGAAAGGCATGTACCCTGATTTCGTTTATTTTTCTTGAAATTTTTAGTTAACTGTAATTTTTAATCATCAACTGAAGTTCAATGTCTTGAAATAAATTTCTGTGGTTATTTAGTGTGCCCTTCACAACGAGCCGTTCATCATGTTTTCAACTGCAACCAAGAGTATGCTGTGCATAAATTGTTTTCGTGACACTGCCATCGATGCTCGGTTGCATTGTGTTGACCTTGACACCGCCTATACTCAGGGATGCAAAAAATTAGAAAGAGCTCGAACGGTATGGATTTTGGAGCGCAATTTTTGTATCTGTAAAACATCTGCGTCTCTTTCGACAGTCCTTACTTGAACTGCAAAATTCTCTTCGTGATGGAGTCATTTTATTCCGTGCGTTGTTGGAAGAGCTCAAGCGTAATATGGAGACTGAAAAAAGCTCCATACTGAGCACGTGCCAAAGCCTAGAAGAAACTATTCAACAAACGCAGGAAGCTTTGCTTCAAGAAGTTGACAAGTAAGACCGATGGAATGTTCTATTTAGAAGTACATATTTTTCGTATATTCTTGGAGAAATCTTAAATGCCCATGCTTATTTCCTCTTATTTTCCTTATTTGTTGGCTTATGGTAAATTTTCTCGCGTTCAGTCAATACGTGTCGAAGGACCAACTGTTCCGGAGTCAGCTCTCCGTTATGGCTTCATTACTTCCCACCATCCATTTGCATATAATCATGTGCACGACGTTTTCGTCCTCCACGTCGAAGTTTGAGTTCTTGGATTTAGGATATTCTCTAATGGATCGATTGGCTGCCATCTCGCACATGGGTTATCCTCTAAGGTGAGGCATTTCATGGGCGTTAAGCGAAGAGCCTTCTGGGTAGCAGCATTATTGAAACTTGTTCGTTCCCTGAGGGTAGTACGTAATGTCTCGATTTTCCGACAGACCTAATCAAAGCAGTCAAGTAAAATCTAACTACAAGGTTGCCTTGGCTCAAGTGCTTGAGCCGTACTTCATAAACGCTGGACCGCCGCTGGCGCCTTACGAAGGTGCAGGAGCTCAAGGTGGGGCGCCCACTACCGTTTTGACAAACGGAGCTACTGGTGCTAGTCCTTATCAGTCTGAAGACAAATCAGACGCAGCTACATCATCGTCTCTTGAAACAGTTCGTGAATACATCGGTGGATCGCGTGGCTCACTCTCCCAAAACGCCACGCAATCTGGCAAATCTTCGGGACACCACACTCCCGTTGCCTTGGGGCCAAATTTTACCACTGTCACGAGGAGGACGCAAGTTCATCCATTGAAAATGAAAATTTTGGAATCCTCTGGTCCGTTCCCTGACCACTGCAAAAATTTCGATGCTAATTATAGAGTAAGTATGGTGAAAAGCTTTTTCTCTCTAGCGTTTCATATTCGGGAGTATTTCACGATTTTTGCTTTTCCAGGAAATTAGCATGAGATTTGCGCGATTGAAGGATCAAGTTCAGGAGCTTCATAGAGATGTGACAATGAGGCGGTGCCTTACAAAACGCGGCAAAGTGGAAGAAATAATCACCGAGTGTGCTACTTTAGATTCAATGCTAAGAAAGCATGCCGAGCATTTGGAATCAATGCACAACATATTTTCCAAAACGTGGGATGACCAGTCGCAAAGAATCCAAGCAGAGCGTGAGCTATACCAGATGCAGGTACGTGTGATCACCGTTTAATCTAGCTACAATAATGCATTTCGCATTTTGTTCGACTTCAGATGAACGATCTTATGAACTTACAATCTGAGAATAGACGAGTGCTGCAGATAGTTCAACAGCTTGAGCCTTATATCCGTTCCATTTCAACACTCATGGAGCGCCTTTCGCCGCATTTACATCCTGGTCAACTAGTTTCTGTTGGATCTGGCTCTGGTGCACCGCCTTCGTCTACTGGACCAGGAAGTGGACCTGGTAGTGGCGGCGCCTCGCAAGTTCCCGATTCTAGTGAACCTTATGATCCGGGATATGCAGCCGGAATGTCTGACGTACAGCAGAGGTACTGCGAATTTTTTGAAAAGATTGAAATTTACGGAAATAAATTCCTTTTGTTTTCTTCTCAAGGAGTGATTCCAAGCACTACAATTCAAGTATTCAGTCAAAATCCCAGCAAGGGTTTGATGATTCAGCTTCTTGCCGAGGTAATTATGAAAGCATTCATTCAATATTTGTAATTTAGAGTAAAATCAGTCATCCTTTTTTGTGGTCCAGAAATTCGGGCGACGATTGCTGTGATTATTTACGTGTCGTAGATCAATCAGTCTGGATGTTTCAGAATTTTAGAGCCATTTCGTTGCGGAAAACGTTTTATTCAGCGGTTACATTATTTCTCGTAAAGGTTCTTCAAGAGCAGCATCATGTGAAGGAACACCCGATGCCGGTGGTTCTTCGAAGTCCAGAAGCTTGCCCCGTAGTTTTCAAGGGTATTCATCGCCTTTAATGACCGGAAAAGAACCCCAGTCCACTCCTCCACCTCCACCACCGGCGAGCAACAAGGGTTTCTTTTCTCAACTGCTTAACCGGGTTAGATGTTCCGATGACAAGAAACGATCGAAAGCTTCGCGTTTTTTTCGTGGTCGCTATTATTCTAAAAGTGACGGCGAATACGAGGATGAAGAGGGTTGTGAACAGTGTGCTGCCAATCGAAGAGCCGCGATTGCTGCAGCAAAAGCCGCCACGTTGGCTAATTTGACCGCGACTCAGCAAGCCTGCATGGCGGCCGCATCCAAGAAGCGGAAGGGAAAACCGACGGGAATGATCGGTTACGGGCCCACGTCATTTTTCGTCGAAGCGTCGGATTACGATAATCTGTGTCGAAATTTTCCTGCCATGACTGCGCACATGATGCCGCCAAGAAAGGAAATGTGCGTCGGACAAGGCTGCGAACGAGTCGGCCAGGGGTTGTATTGTGCCTTGGGCTGCGGTGATCCAGCTTCTGCCACCAACACCGCGGTGCCAGAAAACGATAACACCCCGCGTCGTAAAAGTGAAGGTTCATCCTCGTGTTCCTCGGTGTATTGCAAAAAGTGCGGACCCGTGTACCCGAAGGGGCAGCAATGCCCAGATCCTGCGACAGGTGTGCAAGATGGTGCGAAGATGCAGTGCCATCTTGAGACAGCCGTCGCTGCTGCTGCAGCCGGGGTACGGTCCAAAAGGAATGGGAGCGAAAAGAGAAGTGGGTCGTCGGCATTTCCGAGGAACCACGCGGTGCCCAAGTCTGGTGGGCACCGACACGACGAAAATAAGGCAAGGTCGAGTCGGTGTCGACAAACAACGCCGCAAAGGAGCTCTTCGAAGGGCGAGCAGCGGCAGTCACCGTATGAGACTTTGGATGAATGCAAACGTGAGGCAAGTTTTTGTTTACGAATTTCGTGGCCGAGCGTCGGTAAAATCCTCTTGCGATTGCTTAGCGGATAACGAAGAACAATACTGTAGTTCGGTTTATTTTATATTTTAGTCCAAGGGCACTGAACCCCGAATTCATTAAGAGGAGAGCTTTCATACCGAAATCTTCTCTGAAAATGCTGACATTTTCAGTTGAAAACGTTGATGAAATTTTTTCTGTAAGACACGCCCCGTTTTTATTAACTCTAATCCACAGTACAATATTTCGAAAGGAAAAACACCCAAAATTTAGTTTAAACATGGATGAACCTAAAATCGACTTATTTTCAATTGTTTCCATTGAAGTGATTTTTTCTGTAGAACTTGGTCCAATATTTTTCTACTAGAATCAAGTGCGTTATAATGCTCACCTCAATTTATAAAACTTTTTGAAAAATTTATGCACATCTTTTACGTACACCCCCATTTTTCCTTTCAAATTTGAGAAAAAGATGCGCGTAGTACTAGAGTAAGTGCGGTATTAGCACTTTTATTCCAAGTACAGGAATACTCAGCCCCGCCTTTGTTCAAATGAGCTTCCAAAGTCAAAGTAACTTTCCTTTGTTATCGCACAAAGTGAACTACGGACTTCGTAGAACGGAGACCGTTTCGTTTTTGTGTGCATGAATGATGCAGCCTGTTTTCTCTGATAGTTTATCAATTTCTCCGGGTTGAAGAGGATGTTCACAAAATCGCCGAAGTCGAGCGATGAGCTCCAGCTGAGTGAAGATAAAATTCAATAATTATTTAGTTACGACTTTTTCAAATATTTTTGCGAGTTTTCCTTCATGCACGTCATACAATTTTAAGAAGACCAGGGAGCTGTGTTCAGTTCTGAAAATGCCATGAGCTTCGTTTGGGTTGGGTTCTATCCGCATAGATAGTCGAAGTGACGACGGTATTATCTTCAGCTGGGCGGGTTTTGAATATTCATTGCAATGCTAAACGACCCGTGTGCACTATTGACTTATTGAGTGCTGAAAGACGATATGAAATAAAATCTTTGAATGCCGAATTAATTCAAGAAAATTTCATGAGATCCACGTGTAGCGTTATTTTTTCTTCCTCGAACGAAAACTCAATTACATGCCCAGCATTTGCAGGTATTCATTTTGATGCTCCTGGTACATCAAAGACGTTTGTTGAAATGCATCTGTCCATGTCAAGAAGACTGTTACGTTCGCGCAGTTGAACACAAGCCGTCGTGCATGTCTTTGACGCAAGTCAAGCCAGGTGTAAAACATTTGCTGTGTCGGCAATTGCGGAGAAGCCGCGCAGAAAATGTAAAATGCTCACCCCTGTAAATAACATGAATTTGAAGGCCTGAAGTCAGGGCCGGATCAAGGTCGGTGCTAAGGATGCTGCAGCATTAAGAAAATAGGGCCTCTGATAAATTAAAAGCGAAAATCTCCAAGCTGCCGCATTACAAATTGTAAAATAAATATAAACCTATGGAGGTTTATTTTTCCTTCTCTTTCAGAATTGGTTTTCTGAAAAGGTTTTTCCTGGTTCATACAGCACCCTTGAAATGTGAAGTAGTTAAATTCTTAGATACTTCGAAAATTATGTTTTCATTTGTGTAAGGAAATAATGCAAATTTTTTTTGTGCTATGAAAAAGTGCAGCATCTGGCCAAATTGTATTTTAATCCGGCCCTGACTGAAGCAGCATGGAATGCTCAGTGGCGGTTTTTCGGATAACGATACGCAAGTTATCGTTTAAGTCTGTATTATTTTGCGCTCTATCTGCGGACTGGTGCAGAATCATAACTCAAGCGATGGTTTGATCCGCTAAATTTAGTATGATTCCCGCGCTAATCGTCCCATGAAACATTAACATTTCGGGAATTCATTATCACATAAGTATGAAATAAGTCTCGAAGGAAGGTGCGACAATGCGAAAAGGGAATATAATATTGGCATTCCATCCAGTGCGATCCATTTACTGTTTACTACTACTGTACTGTATTCTGTGAGACAGACAGGCAAGACTCGTTTTCCTGATTATGCCAGACTCCCCGTCATCTCCTACATTTCGGTGGACAATAGTCATTGTGTTTTGGAAGCCTCCAATTTCCTCCCAGGCCTACCTCCTAAAAGATAAAAAGCTTTCTTTGCTTCTTCGAGGCGCGCGCTACGTACATGATTTTCGGGATGATGCCAGAAGGTTTTCCCTGCTTTTACTTCGTCCCATCTTCCTTCAACACAAATTTCGTGTTTACGTGAACGACAGGCCACATATGAATTTTGGACGTAATCTTATCTTTGGGCTGCCATTTCCAGGATAAAATAAAAAACCGTGGGACGCGAAGAATTGGTAATTTTTCTAAGAGAACAATGCGTTCTGTTCGTGAAGGGAAAGCGGAATCGCGTCCGGCCTGTGAATTTTTAACCACCAAGTTCTTGAAAAGATCTACAGTATTTGATCTTGAATAACCATGCTTAATTATTTACTACAGTGTATAAAAGTTCAATAAATAATTCGTGCTTATTTTAAATCCTAGTCAGCCAAAATCTGTGAAACGATCTCGAATATAAACCTAATTATTTCAAATTAGTTCGTCCTTCGCGCAAATCTCAGTACAAGCGTTTTTCAGCAATCTGTTCAGAGAAGGAAGTGCGGCCCAAGTAAATACAGTATGATTTCTGGGCTCTATATTTCCCCCCCTCTCTTTTTCCTTTGCGGGCCTAGTAATGTGTGAATCACGATGTACTTCTATAACGATTAGCCAGTCTGCGACATTTTCCTCGCTGTTTCCCTGTTCTGCAGGTGTAAAAATGTTGGGAAAGGTTTTTTAAGCCAGGTTTTTTAACCGGTGGCAAGCGTGCCACTCGTGGTACATGAGAGCACGTGGCAGGTGTGGCGCAAGATTGTGTTGGAATCAAGGATAATCTTGCATGTACTGTAATTTACTCAGTGCCGTTTGAGCCGGGGAAATATATTTAGACAAAAACCATCTTATAGAAGTGCTCTTGTACCGAAACAAAGCTACCGTATTGACTCGGAGGCTGGAAGTAGAAAATGGAGGTTTTTCTTCCAGTTTTCAAAAATAGCACGGTCTGCCATTAAAAAATTCACTAAAAGATTTTAGTTCAAGGCAAAATGTATTGAGCAGAATAATTTCCTACATGTCGGTGTGATTTTTTGAGTACAAATGTTTCGAGGATCTATCCATCTAAATCGAATGAACTTTTCGGAAGCCAGGAAGTTTCTGAAATTGCGTATTCTGATGAAGGAATAAATGAGAAATTTTTTTCTAAAACAATGCAGTGTGTGCCTTTCTTTTCATTATAGTAAAAATGTTTATTCTTATGCGAAGAAATCTCGAGGAAAGAACCGTATTCGCGAGGTCATTTTTTTCCATCATTGTACTCGTATAGGCCATACACAACGCGGGAATGAATTGATTTTTCAATCGGAGTCGCCACTTCTCCGACAGGAGAATCCTCTTTCACTTTCCCGAAAAGAGACATGTAATAAAAAATCCATTTCTGAGAGGACGATGTGCTCTTCAGAAATTTTAAATCATTCTTAGATATGAAAAATTCATTTTCTTATTTGTTTCTGGCCAAAGGTTGTCCGGGAAGAACTTTTTTGTCTTTCTTCCCATGACAATGCTGCACCTGCTCAGATGTTGTGGTGCATGGTTCAGAATTCAATTTTATGCTGGAAGGAAAACGGATAAAATTTTTCCGACGTTCGAGGAAATGAAATTAGTTTACCTCTTTATTCACGTCACTTGCCGCCTCTGGCTTTTTTTCAACTCTCCTGTTTGTTGAAGAATACAAATTTATAAAAATTATTTACATCGTTGGGAGAAAGGCATTCCAATTGAGAAATAAAGTCATTCTTGTGCCCTTCTACAAGGAAAAATTCCTTGTAGAAAGAATTTCGATGCGCAGAACCCCTTTAACATGGAGAGAGAACCCAATGGTACCACAAAAAACTCGTAGAGCGAAAATCATCGTAGAGAGAGAGTCTGTATTACTGTATCGTGTTTACTCGAGTAGCACGCGCATCTTTTTTTTTTTCAATGCATTAAGTTTAAATAATTAAATGGGCGTCTTAGTCCGGTATAATACTGTATGTCAAAGGACTTTTTTTATATGTCTGAAACTTTCCCCATTTTCAAAATCGTTTCGGAGTGTTCTATTTTAAAAATTGCTATTATTTGTACGAAACAAAAAACCGTCATTGAACTCGATTTTCAAGTGAGCTTTAATTAAGAGTTGTACCCAACACAGTTTTTCGAAGGGAAATTTCGGCAACTGAAAACGGAGGTGCGGGGATACGATTTTTTCCAAAATTTCGGCTAAAAGTTTAACGTGCGCGTTTTACTAGATAACTAGAGGGCGCGTAGTAGTCATGTAAATATGGGTACTATGGAGACGATGGTTGAGGAGCCATTTGATTTCAACCCCGGTCTTCGCCCCCCTCATTAAAGGTGCGGGCCATCGTGCACAGCGACTCGACCGGCAAGTCAGGTGCGAAGTCCGAGCCCGCTCGGAGCCGCGGAGGGTCTCCGAAGCCAAGCTCGAAGCCCCTCGTCCACGCGTCGGTTCGACGAGCCACGCCGCTGGTCGCCGTCATGGCAGCCCACGGGATAAAAAAGAACTCGTCTTGCGACAACTTGATCTCGAAGCCGTTCGACGAACCCGGCCGCGAACGTCGCTACTCAACTTCTTCGTCGAGCGGGTGCGGCCGCCGTAACTCGGCGTCGTCCTCGTCGAATGGACGCCGTGCTGCCAGTGCCGCCGCTGTTGCTGCTGCTGCTGCCGCAGCCGCAGCCGCCGATGATAATGCCGCGTCCGTCTCGGCCGGCATGAGGAAGCAACACTCTTTCGATAGTTTTGAGTCCAAGAAGAAAAGCAAGTCGAGGGCGCCGGCCGGGCGCTCTGCGAGTCTCAAGAAAACTGATAGTTTTGAGGGCCACGAAGAGGCTGTGAAGAGCATTGTCGCAGCTGTGCAGGAGACTCGCACGCTGCGCAAGAAGAAGAAATGAATGAAGTAATGCTGCGAATGGAAAAGCCCCCCCCCCGATACTTTTATCCACTAGTTCTTGTCGTCTTTGACCACCGTCAAATTTCCGGCTTTCGAGCGACTTCGTTTCAGTCGTAATGATTCTCTCTTTAGTCTATTCTTTTGATAATATTGAGACTACAGAGTCATAAGCAATAATTTTCGTTATTACTGATTAAAGTGTCGGATTTTTCTGCGGGAAAGGTTCTTCAATAATCCTCTGGTAGGTTCAAATTAGAATATCACAACAGAACAGTTTTTCGACGCGAGGGCATTTCGGTCTGAAATACTTGTTGGCTGTCCGTTGTTCCCGTCGCTCTTCATAACATGGTTCATGCGCAAAATTTTTTGACGCTCGAAAGTTTTAAATTTTCGATGTACTGTATTCTCCATTTTCAATTTCCCGTCTTGACTTCTTGAAAAAGTTTCCTAGAAGCGTTCCATTCTTTTAGAATCGTGGTGGTCAAGAATTGTAGAACGGACTGTCGCTCGATTTTGTTGTTGTTGCCATAGATCGCAGTTTGTCTGTTCATTGAACTTCGTCCCCTGGTTATCGGCGTATCGCATCCGTATGCTAACACCTGTTCGACATTTGAAGCGTTTACCTTTTCCTTCTTCAATTTTAGCGTAATTTAGGGTCTTGCTCCTTTTTTTATTGGGAAAAAAATCGGCGAATGTCTCAAAGGTGTCAGAGGGATTTGTGGAAGGAGTCTGCATACCAGACGCGATTTAAGCTGGTGTATTAGCGAGTGCTCAAGCGGTTTTGATACGAGAGGAGAGTAAGAATCGGGAGTGAGTAAGATTAAGCCGTCGCCTGAATTATCAACATGGCGAGAAAGGCAGGAATGGTCCCGGTGTCGTGTCTCCTTCAAGAAGAAAGCGTTGGAGAAGTTTTATTTCGAAGACCCCGTTTTTTTCGTCATTAATTCCGTTCTCAACTCGTAGTGAGAAAAAGTTTAGTTTCATTTTTTATCTGTGATATAAAATGGAATAAAAAGACGGAATCTGCCTTTACCGCGGCGTCAAGTCGGTGACGCTCTTCCGAGAGTGACAGCGGCTTCCGGGATGGTCAATTTGAGCTCAATTCCGCATTGGAGCAGAAAAGACGCAAATGATACTCGAGAGAATGGATGAATTATATATCCGCCGTGGTTCGACTCGTGAAGCGACCTAAAAGAAAACGGTGGCACGGATCAGTATTGTATTGTTTTATCCCGCTTCTTCGAATCCAGGAACGGCGATACCGGTGACAAATTTGTTTTTTCCGTCGCGTGATTTGTTGACCCTGGTCTTGTTATTTTCTTTGGTTTCCTTTTTCACCAAGTCTTTCAATCGACCGAAGAAAACATCTCGCGTTCTCCCATCCTCACACAGTTGCTATATTACCTCTGATTGTTACCGCATGTTCGAGCTTAGGGTGGCACAAACGTTGTTGTGTGTGTGTGAGTGACGATTAGTGGCATATGCGCAAGGGGGATTCTCTAACCGTTGTATCTTGTGTTCTAGAAGGACGAACGAGAGCGAGAGACAGAGGGAAGTAAAAGAATTAATAGAATCTCTGCATCTTTGTCCGAGAAGCACTGGACCCAGTTCAGCGTTGTTAGACTATTTCCGAGCTGGATGAGACGAGAGTCTTTTTTTTTTTCGTTCGGAATTATGTCATTTCCGCTTTCGACATCGACGAGGGTTCTTCCAAAGATTGGCGTAGTTATAAAGAACGAATCCCGAAGATTTCAAGTTTTCCGGATAAGCAATCTTTTTAACTTCAAATACCCGTTTCTTTTGTACTGCACGTGGTCTGCTTCATAGGTTTTGTCAGTCTCGACTCTACACGAACATGGACGAATACAAAATTTCGACAAAGAAACTCCAGGCTACGCTTCCAAATTTTGGTTGAGTGAAAGTTAGGGATGATTCCCTAACCTCGAACATTATCAAGTGAGTGATGCTGAATGTTCTGTTCGCTTTAAAATTTCACTTGGTGATCAAGTTTCCCGAGTCAATTGGAAAAAAATTTGTTAGAAATGAACAGAGGTTTGCTTTAAATTCATTCTTTTGACAGAACCATGTTTTGAACGATTCAAAATTAAAAAATTCGAGTATCCGAAGTTCATTCATAGGTACAGTAAATCGTGTACTGACGATGCTTACCAACCATCCCTCGTATTTGCGTGACTTCATTTTTTTTTCTGAAACTTGAAAATCGTCTCTTGGAAGTACTGTATAGTATCTAGGTTACGTCTTTCCGGTTATTTTTCTTGAGGGCTTGTCTCCTTTTCCCATCAGACTCCGCTGAACGAATTTTTGGATCAACTCTCGTGATCGTCACGATCTGAAAGGTTTATCGCTAACTCTGTGGGCTCAGTGCTGCACCTTGCTTCTTTAGAAAAAGCTATACGTTGAGTGTTGTTTGAGACGGTTTCCGTCGGTACTCAAGAGGAAAAGTTGCGTGTCTCTTTTTTTCGTTAGCATGATGTTGAACTCGTTTGTTCTTGGATTTTTTCCCCGAAAGGCGTATGATCTCGAATGTGTTATTGATTACGGAGAACTGGGTTCGTTATTTTTTAGTCCTAGTGATTTAATTTGCCCCGTTTGGATACTTGTGTGAGCCGTCTGGCGGTTCTTGTTGATTTCGTGATTTTGTTGCGATTGATTTGATTTGTTTGTTTTTTCAGCCGCGTGTGGCGCAATGAATAAAACTGAGACATTTTCGAACTGGGTTCATTTTGCTCTTTTTAAGTGAAGTTTGTTGCTTTTTCTCGGCTAAGAGAAAGGGTTTGATTGTTGTTCGTTGTGAATTCGAAGGTTTTCTTTGTTTTTGTGTTGACTGTGTGGTTAAAATTATGGGATCAGTTCGGTGTTTGCATCACGTGGAGATGATGGTTTGGAACGCGAGCAAACGTCTGGAATTCCTCCAGTCGAAATTCGGGTTCACACCGTTGGCGGAGTCGCGGCGCAGGAAAAAGTGGGCCGTGTCGAGCGGCAACGCCGTGTTCGTCGTCGGCGAACGGACTCCACCGACTGCCGGCGACCCCAGTGTCGACTCAGTGACAGACGCCGCCTTTTGGGTGTCCGACATTGAAAAGGTGGTGGAGCGCGTGAGACGCAATGGCGGCCGAGTGTTGGCCGAGCCTCGCGTCATCGTCGATGAGTTTGGCGTGATGGAGCAGGCCCGAGTCAAATCCATTGTGGGCAACGTGGAGCACACGTTGGTGAACCCTTCCGGGTTCCGGGGCTGTTTCATGCCCGGGTTTCGAGCTGTGGAGCCGGAACCTGGGCGCCAAATGCGCCCGCTGGTGGATGGCATTGATCATGTGACGTTTGTTTGCGATGCTGGATGCGGTGCGGAAGTCGTTGGCTGGTACGAAGCTTGTTTCGGGATGAAAAGGCTCATGAGTAACAGGTATTGCTTTGTTGCGCTTGCTTTTTTGTTGTTGGACGAGTTCATGATGCATGGCTCTTGTGTGAGTAACTTCTGCTTTCAGGTCATCTCATGAAGACGAAACTATCTTAAAATTGAAAAAAAAAAAGATTTTCATGATGCATTAACTGAGCGGAGTACAGTAATATGGACTGTGAGATACTTTCCCTAAAAAGGACTTCAATATCACGTATTGGCCCAATAAACTTCTCAATACTGCCCAGTGATGTCTCGGTTAATGGACTGGATCTCTTGAAGGGATAATCTCATTGTTCGAAAGGTCTCGACCGACTAATGTAAAGCTAGATATAGAAAGGCTAATCGGTATTCCGAACCCCCGAAAAGGTCAACAGTTGAATTCAGTACAGTAATGGAATTATACTGTAAACGAAATGGCTGATTTGTCCCAGATTTATTTGTGAATCTCCTTCATCGTATAGGAAGTGCAGTACTGTACATTTTAGTACAGTACTTGAAGAACTAGATGATCAACGGAAAATTCTGCATTACGAGTAGGAGCAATAAAGCAGTGGAACGAGGGAAGCGATGCTTAACGCAAGCAAGAAAATTAGTAAAATTTCTGTATACAGTACAATACGTACAAAGCTGTCAAAATGATGATACCGCTCACATTTCCTCCGGGAACTTCGATTTTTTTTATTGGGCTATTACTTTTCATGGTCTATTGCTCGAAGCAGGGTTCACTACCCGAAGCAAAATTCGGTGATCACCTTGGTCCAGCGTTGTAAAAACCCCATCTGCTAGGCATCCATTATATTGACCTCTGGTTTTTGTCAGTACACGTGTACATTAGTACCTCGATCATCGGTACGATTTCATTATTCGACTCAAAGTTGAATTGTGGGCGGAGTTCTAGGCAGCCTTCCAAAAAGTGTATTTAAAAAAGCAGCCTCGACCATATTTGTGCATTTTCTCTTTACAAATCTGACTTCACGGTTCCATCGTCACTTATAATTCTGAGATTGTGGGGATCTATGTTTTTGAGAGTGTCAAGAGTAGATTTTCGTTGCTTTTGCTCCGATGCCAAACCAGAAACTGGACTACATTTTGAATTACTTGTCTTCACTCGTTTATGTTGACTGTCGCGAGCAAATTTCGAATAAATCTAATTTTATAATCTTACCCTATGCCGCCGTAACTGTACTAGAAGTTCGCGTCTCTTCTTCGTCTAATCGACACAATCGAAGTCACAATTTTGTAGAGAAGTGCAATCAGCGCATTTAGCATTTGTCAGGATTGTAAATGTCAAACTTCACTCTGTCAAGTTATTCTGAGCTTGTTTTGTGACTTTCTGCTTCCAAAAATTCTCTTGTATATGCGAAATACTTAGTTGATCTTCGATAATCATAGCGTAAATTGCGTTATTCGTGCATTTTCCGTCGTCGGACATTATCGAAATTATCAGAACAATCATATTCACGGGGTAAAATACAGATGATAAAATTGCGTGAAGCGTTTCCTTAATTTTCAGTTCGGAAAGTAGTGCAAGAGCAGGTGTTCAGCGTTTAGTAAATTTTAAAACGTATTGTAATTTTTCAAGATTATTCTCGGTGAGCACTTCAGGTTCGAAAAGTCAATGCGTTGCAATTAATTTGTTTGTATACTTTTTTTTAAAATCGTAGTCACATTTGTGTTCTGAAAAGCTCCGGGCTTCATATGAACGCTAGGTCTTGGTTGTGAAGCGACTTGTGTCGTGTGCATTTGTCTGTGAACGTTCTAACGTTGCTTGAGACGGAGCATTCCCAAGTGCAATGCCGGGGAACTGAAGCGTAGCTATACGAGCTGATGGAGGGGGTTTTTGTTGGGGGTTTCCAAGGCGATCAGCCCACCCTCGGGAAAATCCGTTTCCATGCGGCTCGTTGCACTCCGGGCCAAGTCGTTGTGTGTTGCTTGTGTTTAGCTTCGCCGACGAAGCTCCTCCAAAACGCCATTTCCTGCTACCTCTTCTGCTGCTCGCGTCGGAACCCATTCCTTTGCCTGAGGTCTTAATTTCTCTTCTCTTCCGAGGGAAAAACAAAAAGAAAAAGAGAAGGGTTTCCCCCCATCACTCCGATGTACCCACCCGTGCCCTGGGTAAACCGACGCGTGTCTGGAAAATTTTCGCCTTCGTTTTCCGTACGCTCGCTGTTCTGGCGTAATGTCGAAAGAGTATTCGAAATTCCGTAGTTGTCTCTACAGTACAGTACTGTATATATTTTTTCTTGAAGGAGTACAATCGCTTCATTGTAGACGCTTCATGTGTCTGATTACCCCGTGCAGTTCCGAAAAATATTTCCCACTTGTTGCAATATTTTAACGCGGTATTGATTTCCTTTCATTTTACTTTTCGAAAAATTTTCCACCGATTTTAGCGCAGTTTTAGATCTCTTGATTTTTAAAATTTAAATGCAGTATATGTTGAGGAATGAGTTTTTTTCACTTCATTCGAGTCGTCAATATCCACTGGTGATTTAGGAGTACTGTATTCGAGAAAATTTGGGTAAATTATTTGTGACATGCGGTTCACTGAGACTTCGATGGACATGAACTCAGCAATTACGCCTTGATGGAATGGGTAAGGTAATCGGTAAGGCAATCTTATTTCTGGATTCCAAAAATGGAGTGAGTTGGAGGAATGTGGAAGGCAGGAAATTTTTTAGAAAATCTCCGGAATAGTCATAATTGCGATTATAGATACTGTACTTTCCTGGATTACTGTTGTCATGAAAATGAAAATCCAACTACGTATGGAAATCGGACGCCCTCTGAATTTCTACAACATTGAGGCACTTACAGCACGCGAAAAAAATAATCCGTGCAAATACAGTACAGTAATACCAAATATTCTAAATTAGCGAGCGTGATTTCGCATTCATTAGATGTCCCAGTTTGAAGCTTTGGAAGAATATAATTTGACTTCCTTGCATGATTCAAGACAGGATCATCAATTCTTGCCGTCGCAACATCCGAGAAGAGGTTTGTTGACCGAATCATTTGGGAAATCTTCGGGGTTTAGGTTGGCTGCATGCCATGCGGTTGAGCAGAAGTCAAGAGTTATCTTTCCTTTGCGGGTGCCTTTGCTGGCAGCGTTCTCGTTAGCTATCTGGTCGACGGGGTTATTGCTGCTCTCTTTCATTTTTCTTTTTCTTACTTCTCCCAAGGGTCATCTGCTGAGGTTGTTCAGGGACTTTTCCTTCTCCCCTATATAGTACAATATATAGCATCAAGCGTGTCGTTAGTCGCTGCTGTGCGTTGGTCTTCTATATTACTCCTTATTTTTTATATAATTACGAATAACGTGTGGTAGCACGGTAAAGTACTTACGGTTCATGCGCTTTTTGTTTCTACTTGTTTCTTGAATTTTATTTTGCTGCATTACCGTCTGCCTGTCCAAGCACTGCGCTAACTCTCATGTCTGCGAAAGCTGGAGCCCCATTTCCGTCGTAGAAAATTTATAATACTGTACTGCGAGGATCCTATCTCGTGTATAGGCTTGTTTTTATTCATTTTCTGCGGGAACCCCAGATATTCGCCTTTGAAGTCTAAATGGTTGTACGGTGATTCCGTGGGTTTTCACGGCTCTTGGTCGAAGTAGGTCCTTTATCTCGATGCATTAATGAAAATTCGTCCTCCATTTATTAAGTAAGGTAATACAGGAATGATTAACATCATCGACCAATAATTGAGAAGGAGGCCTATCGGATTTTTGCTTCAAGCAGAAGAAATACATCTCGCCTAAAAATGCGAAATGCTTAAATTTATTTTCTTTTTTTTAAAGAATGTTTATGAAGTCCCGTAATGCTCTTCGAAAGATTTTTGATCCGTTAAAATTCCGTATTTCCATGAATATGAGGCTCCATAAATGATAAAACATTGATCAATTGTTGTCTCAGAAGGGAAGCATTCCAGTGTGCAGTATTAAATGAATCTCCGTTGCCTCAAATCAATGGAATCCTTTGAGCGATTCAGGGAATTACTCGCCTCCATCACCTGAAACGAAAATCCGGATTTTTACTCTTTTGCCTTTGAGCTAAAAATACCCATGTTATATTATTTAATGGCATTTACTTCCTAATTCTTACTCAAAAGACTTTTTCATCTGCAGCAAACCAAAGTTTGTTTCCGATTCTAGTACTGTACACCATCAAATGTAAGTCACAATTTAATGTCAGACACACTCATGCTTTTGAGCAAATCGTTTTTTCCGAAAAATGTGTTAACGTGCTATAGTTGTTCTAAATTTAAATGTTGAATGTACAAACCGCGGCAGCGTGCCTCTTGAAATTTCTGTGTTCAATTTATATTGAACAACCTTTGTATCGAGTAATGTTCCATTACAATTGAGATGTTTTTTGTTCCAAAATTGACAAACCTCTGGGAATATTAAAGTCTTGTCTATTCCGGTGTTCCGCCTTAGTTTGATTCTGTAGGTCTATAGATTTTCATAAAAAATTATGTCGATGCACTGGTGTGACGGGAAAGGTCACTGTCAAAAAAATATGGTTTCTTTTTTGCTGGGAAAAGCCATTGGATTTTAGCTAATGCTGTATTGCAAACAGTGCTTACATGGGAATGATGGGATTCGACTTGCCAGATAATACAGTATCGCCCTCGTCCGGCGATTTTTTCGGGCTTCCGCTGACGCCACGGACGCGAATGTCGGATTGAATTTATGACGGGGAGATGATGATTTTCTTTCGGAACAGATCAGATGACGCAAAAGAAGGCATTCGGATTGAGGGCAACGTCGGACTGCGATTGCGAGCTATGGAGTACTGGAAGTGCGCGGAGTTGGGAATCCAGGCTGACGTGAAACCGTCAGCTGGCGGTGACAGCGGACTACGTATAGTCGTCGCGGAATCTCTATGGCCTCAGAAGGGGAACGCTCACGTTGAGGAATTCCTTTCACAACATTCTGGCCCTGGCATTCAACACATAGGACTTCGCACGCATGACATATGCTGGGCTGTCCGGCAATGTGTTGAGCGAGGCGTCCGTTTTCGACGGCCGCCCGCTTCGTATTATAATCTGGTAAATTGCTTCCTACCGAAGAATTCCTGACTGTTGTCGAGTAACGTGTTATTTAAAACTATATGTACTGTATATACAGTATATACAGTACCGTATATCCTCGTGTATAAGTCGATATAGAAAAATACCAGTTTTTCTTCGCGGAATTTCAGCTGAAGAAGATTTTATGAAATTCCCATCGGGTGAACCAGGAAAAATCAGATTTTGAAACGATGGTAACTCCTGAATGGCTAGAGCTACTGTGTGTTTCACCATGAATGATAAGACCAATCAAAGTCGACTCAATCAACTTTTCAATAATTTAATATATATGTAATAGTGTGATTCTATCTGTAATGAGGTAATACTTTTTTTCTTCACATTTTAGGTGATACCGTATCACATTTTCGATGATAACAGGCAGCGTTTGTGGGAAAATGGTCAAAGTGATCATCGCGAGGCGGTCAATCGTAAAATAAGCATCGTTAAAAAAGGAAAATGGTTAGAATTGAATATTACTTGGTTTTTGAATTGGCAGATCCAATTTTTCATGACATTTCGCTAATTAAAACGAAGTCTCTTTTGTTGAATGCTACATACGTACTCCGGTTTCATTAACCACTGACGTGTGGACTCTAGAATGTTGGGTTGATGAGATTCTTCAACATTATAAATCGGTTTTCATCAGAATATTTATTTCACTGACAGACACCGCTAAAACCTTTCGATTTTTGGCCATCAGGAATCGAAGCGCAAAGAAATCGCTCGGGCAGAAATGAACGCGGTGGACTTGGCACAGCTGGGAATACTCATCGATGCAGAAGCCGATCCCAGAAGTTGTGATCTCGAAAGCGACAGGTCAGTTTCCTTGAAGGCATGAAATAATGAAGCGTGATGAAAGATCCAGTGAATTTGTTACTTTGAAATGGGAAAACGATATTTCAGTAGCGATGAATTTCGACGAGAAGGAAAGTTCGAGTTGGCGAAAGCATGCTTTTACTTCGTCAGTACGGATGTTCGCTCATTCTTTTCATTATGAAAAATGGAAAAAGGACGAACATATTTTAATAAAGCAAAGTTACAAAGGATACGAAAGACGCGGGCGGTCTTTGTTCTGGAAGGAATGCGAGCGATTCCTGAAGAATCTCATCGAGAATCAGTGGGGCCTTTGAAGTTATATCGTTATAACGATGGATCGATTCTCGTTGCAAATTTTTCAGTTATACAGTATATATCTAATGTAATTTTTACGTTGTAGGTTTTTGCTGCAGATCTTCACGCATCCTCTGTTCGACGAGGAAACCTTTTTCTTGGAAATCATCCAGCGGCGAGGAGCGCTGGGATTCGGAGAAGGGAATGTTACAGCTTTAGCCCTTTCCATTGATCTTGAAAATCAGCGGAAAGTGGCGGGTGGAGAAAAGGCTGGTTCTTGATCCCGTATTGTTGAGACCCTTCGGTTTGTAGGGAGTATTTTGTGCGCTACAGCGAGTGTTCGTAACGTTGCGATAGCGTCGGATTGCCTTTCGACGTGCCTTCCGATTTGTGATAAACGAAAATGGATGCAAACAATCTAGTGAAATAAAACGACCTACCTTGAGTTAGTTAGATCTCAGTCATAGATTTTGCCTTGATTCCGCTGCGATACGGCCGATGAACTACTTCTTCTTTGACCTATCAAAGAATTCAAGTGCTTTGAAAACGGGAGAGTTTGAGAAATTCGCTGGAAATGTTGATGATTGTACATCTCTAATTTTTTGCGTAGTGAATGGGATTTATATGTCTAATAAGTGTGTCTGATTTGTAGAAAAAATTGTTACCGAGAAAGTGGTTGTGGCGATGTCTGATTTATCTGACGAAAGGATGGAAAGAGTGGATGACGCGAATGAATTGTGTCCTTCGGAGAACAGCTGGCGGCATCGCTTCAGCCGCAGTCGAACTCCCGAAAGATCTCCGGGACCTGTAAATTATCCTGATATAAGTGGGATGTTCGACGTTGACAGGTTTGTATAAGGATTCGTTCCCTGACTAAAAAAAAACGTGTACATTAATACAGGTATTCAAATTGCCAAATACACTAATGTACTGTATTTAAAAGTTCCCCTTTTGTTCCTCCAGAATGTTCCTTACCTTTTACCAAAAAGTCTAGTACTTGTAGACTCCCTCTACAACGGTTTTCTGTGAGTTACAAATTATTATTTCTTTTTTGGTCCAATAAGAAGGGTCTTTACCCTTCCTATAGAGGTTCTCTGCAACGAATTTTTGTTCTCCTGAATTTCGTTGTAGAGAGTCAAGCTTTACTTGTTCTTACGGTGCGTTAATTTGTTTTGGACTTCGATTTCGTTGTGGAAATTTTTATGAAATATGCATTTTTTTTTTTATAAGATGCAGGATGCACTTATTTCTATTTCTCCTGCGGCCGCGTTAACCAGCTCGAAATGTCGTTTAATTGGATTTTTGTTCTGTTTAAGGTTCTCATTGGAAGACAAGTGGCGACTTTTGCCGTTGGCGGTGTGGTTTCCTTTCGGCTCAGTACTTGCTCTCGTAAGGGTGTTCATGTGCTTCCACGTTTATCTCGCTGCGTTGATGTTGCCGCAGCCGTCATTTCTCAGAAGGTTGGTAGCCGGAACGGAAATTTCTTTCGTCAGTCACGAACAGAAAAATGTATTGGTCTTTTCGAATTTTTTCCAAATATTAAAGTTTCAGTCATGTCCGTAACATGAAATATCTTTTGATCGAAACCTGTCAATTACGAAATGCTGTGCTTCAGAATGTTTCTTGCTTTCCAGTTTTTCAGCATGACTCCCAGATGATTCAAAATTAACGAATCGAAGAGTTTCTGATCGTTTCAGAAGCGGGCATCAGAAATCGAGGCTATTTTTTCCTCTTATTTTATTAAATATTTAATTTCAAGGTTCGTTTTGCGGTGGATGTGGACTGTTATGGGACTTGTAGTGACAGCCGACGACGAAGAAGAGAAGCCGCGTCATACAGAGGAGTACGCGAGTTTATTGGTTTCCAATCATGGAAGTCCTCTTGACACCCTCGCCGTGCACATGGCCACTGACGCGTTTTCAGTGAGTTTTGTTTCTTTCGTTGCCATGTGTTGTGCATATCCATCGATTTTCGCAAGAATTATCGTGGTGACAACAGAAGCGTCGTCATCACGGTTCCTTTTGCCTTTAGATCTTCCGAATACAAGGTGGAACATACAAGTGATGTATCAGTTTGATGGAAATCTATACTGTATGAGCAGGCAAAAACAGATGGGTTCTTTTTTTGAAGGCGCACAAAACTGGAGTTGAGAAAGGTGCATTGTATCGCCGCTGGAAGCGTTACCTTTCTCTCGGAAATCTTCGAAGAATCATGATAAACATTCATTTTATTTTTTCAAGACACCCTGAAATATTGCTGTGAAGGATGAAATTTCGCAACGCTGGCTATTTTCTGCTTACAAATCAATTGAAAGCGCTTCGTAATGAAGAGATTTCTTGAAATATCCGTATTTACCCCTGATAAATAACGTTGCATTATTATCATTATTACTGTATTTTAGTCTCCGTACTGGTCGTACTGATGCATTTGAAGATATGAAAATTCGTAATTTATATCTGTGAAAATGTGATGTTTTATTAATACAGTACTACAGTACTTTTTTTCGATCGCAGAAGCCGTTTAGGAGATATTTCGCAGTACTGTAATACAGTATATATTTTTCCTTCGCCTCCATTAAGATTTAAAGGTTTTCCTGTAGTTGACGTAGATTACCGGTGCTTTCATGATTTTGAATTTTTATGTTGCAGCCGCATTTGTCTGGACTGCCATTGTGGTTTCGATACGCCTACGGATGGTCTGACTTCGGCTGGCGAGAAAATGACCCGAGAAGTGTGAATGGACCACGACATGCCGCCATCGTGGCACGAAAAATCAACGAATTCGTGAGGGGAATCAGTTCCGAAGACCCGAGAAGCTCATCTCGGCCGCCACCTGTGCATATCATGCCTGAGGGCTATTGGACAAATGGACGAATCGGACTGTTGAAGTGAGTTACAACTTGATGGTAAATCTTCGGAAGCTAACTGCGTTTCGTCGACAGATTCCAATCGTGGTGGGTTTCCGTTTTGGGAGGGGTATCGAGAGAAACCTCCGAAGAATCCGGGAATGAGGGAGTGAATGATAGGGTCTGTGTGAGACCCTTGGCGATTTCTTGGTGGCGACCTTCTTTTCCTTGCCCGCTGAGAGTTACGACTATCAATTCGTCATCATGGACTGACTTGTTTTGGATTTTCTTTTGTCCCGTGACCTTCGTGCAAATCAGGTTTGTCCATCTTTGTATGATTTCGATTTGGCAGGAACTTTACAAAAAATCCACGGGTGGAACGCAAGCGTCTCCAAAATATTTGTTCCGCATTAATGCGAGTTGATTTCAAATTTTTCAGATTTTTGCCAGCTGTTTGGCGAAACGCAGGTCAGACGAATGCAGAGGAGTTTTCATCCTTCGTGAGTCAGAAGATTGCTGCGGGATTAAGAAGCAGACAAGGTAGTGGCAGGAAACATTCGTCCATAGTCACAACACCTTACACGACAAAAGATCGGGACGAATATCTAAAACGAATGATGTTCGAATCAATATCGGTCTCAAATCAATCTCGTGGGGTTGCTGAATCAGTGCAGTATCCCGCTGAAATCATGCAAATGGCGGAACGGGTGAAGGAAGTGATTCCTACGGTCCCATTACTGGTAATCGCCTCAGATTTGGGTAAGATCATGTTTATCGATCGTCCAGTTGAAATTGAACGAGCTTAAATCTCGTATGATGCCGCTAATGTTAGATAACAAGGGTTCCTTTTAATCATGTCGAAGGCTCTTCATCCATTAAAAAGGATTTTCGGTATTGATTGCAGTGTCTTACTAAACAAGAGATGGAAATTGTCATCGTCTATCATATCTCTTTCAGCCCCGAATTTGAGCTGAACTTCGGACAAAAGCTTGGTTGAAAAATAAAATGGAACAAATAAAACTGAGTTTTCCTTCAGAGTTCGGGTTGACATCTTCTGGAAATGTTTTGAAGGACAGAGAAAGGCATAATTGATGAGTGTCGGAAAGCTTCATGAAAGAAATCCGATAGCAGTTGTGAAGAACAAATTAAAAACAATAAAAATTTGAGCGCAGAACAGGTGCATGAACTTGATCGGCTGAAGCAATCTTGAAGCTGCTTGCTTAGCTAGGCTTGCGGCATTGCACCAGTTGCCCTCGCAGAAGCAGCAGAGTTGGTTTCTGCTACTCTTCATAAATGCTGGACAATCCTGGCACCCAGGGATGGCCTTGTAACATCCTCTAGCTGTTGCTTTGTCTAAAAAATTATGATGAAATTGCAATTAATACTCAAGTTTGAGTACTTAAAATTTTGTCAGCGGCTCGTGATGTCATCCGCTGTCACTTACTTCTCAAAATGTCTGCATAGGCGGTGAAGCACAAGGAGTTGTGACAATGCAGTTTCACAGAATCGTCCAAAGATCCGGAACATAGTGTCATTGCAACTATATAAAGAAAGTAGTGCTTCATGATATTCAAGAGTACTGTACGCTCTGTTTCCAATGTAGGTTTTCTTGATTAGACTTTGAGCAGAGGGGAGGAAGCTTAGGAACTTCGGGTCATTCTGTCTATTTGTGTTTGAATACCTACATTTCTTATCGGCCACACTCACCTCGTTTAAAATGAGTTAGTAGTAGTCAGCGAAATTAAACTGTCCTCTTAAATCTCACTTACGTGATCCTGGTATTTCTTGGACAAAGACAATGAGCACAACGAAAGCCCAAATTTTAACCATGTTCATCGTTCGAAAAATCATTGTAGAATTTTGACGCGTTAAAGGTTAAGTTTCTAAAGTTGATTAAGATCCTTTTCCGTGAGCAGCATTGTCCTTTTGAGGGGTATTTTACTGGTTTCAGCCTTCACAACTCAAGATGAAGGGTTGTGATTGTAATAGGCCGTGATCAAAATCTAAAGAAACATTAATTGAATATTGAAAATGCTGATGAATCCTGACAACCCAAGCCGGTGATGTACTTTCCGCGTATACTCGATGATATCGTACCTGTTGCACATTTTCGCTGAGATTGTGGAGTGACTTCTTGATGTACGATGAATACCTATGATGAAATGTCACACTTGTTTAATTTTATTTTGATCATGAAAAATCTAATTTATCAGGTATTTTTCTAGACGTAATTGTATCTTGGACATTCAATTAATTTATTGGTGATTTTCGGGGTGCTTAATGGTTCCTTCTCTTTTTCGTAGTTCGGACGGGAGACATTAACGAAACGATGACGAATTTTTTGGAAGGCCACGTCTCGTATGCGCCGGAAATTCCCACACCCAAGGCTACAACGGGTCCGAGAACTACCAAAAGCGAGCCTTCGGTAAATCCAATTGAAGTTATGATTTGCTTTTTTTTCTTGTCACAAAAAAATTTTTCCACAGATGTCAAAAATGAATCCCAAGAATTCTCCGGATCGTCCTCTTTCATTCCAAGAGAGAAAAGTGGTCATGATTGAGGAGGCGAGGCAGAAGTACATAGCGAAGCACATCAAGAGCGACCCGAGCCTTGCTCGCTTCCTATGACCGAGATATTTTGGATGCACATTTTTTGGCGGCACCCAGTCCTCGCTTTTATGTTCGTATGAGCCCGAAGTTCTTTCATGGTGAAATGCTTGATGTGAATTTCGGTGGCGAAGAGAAAAGAAAACTATTAGGTGTGATGCGCAGATGTGAAAAAATTTCGGAAGCATTTCTAAGAGATGAATACTCTTGAACATTGTCTAACATCCAAGCAGAATCCGCGAGAATCGTGGCGTTACGAACGAGTGTAGACTCTCCTAGCGAGGCTCGAGTGTGGGAATGTGTCGACATTTTTGACAGTTGTAAGGCGAAATTACGATTTTCCCCCGTCATTTCTGAAAAAAAGTGTGTGATACCCGAAACGTTTTAATGGGAAATTCCAATGGAATCCGTTGGGCGCGTTTCCTTACTTCTCAAACAGTGGCTGCGATTTTTTTTCCCTTCCTTTCGTCTCGCTTGACTTTGAAGTGCGAATTTGGGAGACAGAAACTCTCAGAGTATGCTGGTTTTGGTGTGACATTAAACCGATGCACGTAGCCAGTTTGATACTTGTTTATATTTTTCAATGGCGATTTTATATTTAATTCTTAGTTGCGTAATTTCTGTGCATCTTTTTGTTTGCAGAGTTGTGTGCGAAATGATTTCGCCAAGAAAACGCAGAATTTTGTCTCCCGTTTCTTCGCCTACCAAAGGCTGCTCGGTTGTGCTGCCGCGTGTCCAAATCAACGATGACAAGGAAATGTGTTCGACTGCTGAAGCGCTCAGAAATGCATTTCGAGCGAAGCTACTCTTGTTTGCCGACGATGGTAGAGGAACAATCGAGTCGGCCATTTCTCAGGATAAGCTAATGCAATGCACGGAGTGCATCAAGAGAACCGTGAGATTTTTCAGTATAGTTTCTCTTGCGGATTATTCTTCTGTTCGAAGTAAATTAGACGTGTGTCCGTTTTTACGCTTCCCTCTTTAAGTACATGAGTAAAATAATCTAGTTTTGTAATACAGTGGTTGTTCCCTGTTTTACCGAGCCTCCCCTTTTCCTTTGTCTTATTGTTCCATTCGGATCGTGTTTTTGAGGATTTTTGTGCGTGTTTGTATCGATTTTTCAGGTTTGTTTGGGAGAGAGTGGATCACTGATGATCATTGGTCATGCTGGTAGCGGGAAATCTACGCTGGTGTGTACTGCATTGAAGCTGGTTCGAGAAGAAAATCGTAAAGAAAATCTTGCCGATGTCGTGTTCGGATCTGAGCCAACTCAACCATTCCTGCTTGTGAGCCTACGGGGTTCTTGCTTTGAAGACGAAGGGGAAGCTTTGAAATCGATTGCTCGTCAATTGAAGCTCGACAATGTCGTGGAGGATCGCGTCATGGGATCCGTTGGTGATAATCTCTCGTTTCTTTTGGAAGCTTTGAGAGCAGGCGGGAAGAAAACATTGCCGGTCGTGTTTCTGCTTGACGAAGCCGAAGAATTTTGCTCACGCGGAAAACAGGCATTATTGTACAACTTGTTCGATTGCACGCAGATTTCTGGTACCCCGATTTGTGTAATTTTGATGACGCGTCGCTTCGACCTATTGGATCTGATGGAAAAACGCGTGCGATCGAGATTCTCTCAACGAATCTTACGGATGGATGATCAACGTTCTCATCAGCAGCTTGTAGACCTTTCATCCAGGATGATGATGATCGATTTTACTGAACTCAACAAATTTGATATATCTCCGAACAAAGCAGTGAAGAGGTTTTTAAGCGCATGGGAAGAAGCTGTTTCGCACCTGGTGGGCAGTGAAGTTTTTCAACAGAAATTGAAATCGCTTACTCAGCTGAGACGAAACTTAAGAAGTGTCAAAGCTCTTTTGTTCACCATAGTGAGCGATCCATCGCTGTTCTCATGTTTAAATTCAAAAACAGCAGATGATCTCCTGACGATTATGAAAGCGTCGGTATCGAAAGCTTACTCAGTCGCAACTGGTGGCTGTGGTACTGTTTCCAGTCTTCCGTTGGTCGAGCTGACACTTCTGGTGACAGCTAGACGTCATCATTTACTCCGCAAAGGAGAGCCCTTCAATTTTTGCATGATTTTCAGGGAATACGTTAATTTTACGAAGGCGAATCCAGTGATCACGAGATGCCACAGGCGCGTTGCGTCAACGGCATTTCAAAGTTTAGTAGACGCTGGATTTCTGGAGCCACTTTCGGGTGACGCCGTGAAGAAGGACGAAAATGCTAGAAGCCGAGATTATCGCTTGCATTTGCTTGCCTGGGGAGAGGATGAATTATTGAGACACGTCAAGGTGTATCCCGGGTTGCCCACTGCTCTGCAACGATGGATCAATTCTACTGTTGTTGCAGATTTCTACGGTTGAACGATGGCTGTGGTCTGTGAATTTGTTCAGGCTTACGGTGGCTGGTTCTGCGTTTTTTGTACTGTACAGTACTTGATAAACGTTTTTCTACCTTGTGCGCAATTATTTAGTGAACTGCTGGGTGGAACACGCGCTACTTGGAAAACCCCTTTTGCGAATTCTGGAGCATGATTATTGGCTCGCTATGATCTGTTAGCGGTAACGTAATCATTTGGCATTTTCCCCAAGAAAAAACAAATTTCCTTGCCGCCAAAAACACATTTTTGAACTGGATGATTTTTTACTTTTTCGCATTGTTACAAACTTACTTCGGCGTGAATTTAACGATGGACGTTTTCCTAAACTTTCATCGGTACTCCATGAGCGCATGAATCACCTTGTGTTGCCAAGTCATTCCTCACTGCAAAATTCCATGTGGCATGAATTTCTCGATGAAAGGGAAATAATCGGCGCCTTCGCTGCATTTTCTTAAATTAATTTGTGTTCAATGGAATAATTATAAAAGCATCGTTTTTTGTTATTTTTAGGTTTGTTCAGCTGCATTGCGCGCAGAAATCCATCCAAAATGATCAATACAGGTAAATTGGCGGGAAAGACTGTGTTCATAACCGGTGCCAGCCGGGGTATTGGCAAAGCTATTGCCCTAAAAGTTGCTAAAGATGGCGCTAACGTGATAGTCGCTGCGAAAACGGCCCAACCGCATCCGAAACTTCCCGGCACGATCTACACAGCTTGTGAAGAAGTGGAAAAGGCCGGCGGCAAATGCCTCCCGTGCGTCGTGGACATCCGTGACGAGGCGCAGGTTGGGGCGGCTGTGAAAGCCGCCGTGGAAAAATTTGGCGGTATCGACATTCTCATCAATAATGCAAGCGCCATCAACCTCAGCGGCACTGAACAGTTGGACATGAAGCGCTACGATTTGATGCACTCGATCAATACCCGAGGCACGTACCTGTGCTCCAAGATGTGCATTCCGCACATCAAGAAAAGTTCTCACCCGCACATCCTCAACCTCAGCCCGCCGCTGAACATGAACCCGTTTTGGTTCAAGTCTCACGTGGGCTATACGATGGCCAAGTACGGTATGTCCATGTGCGTACTGGGCATGGCAGAGGAGTACAGGAGTCTGGGTGTGAATGTGAACGCGCTGTGGCCGCGGACTGCGATTCGAACGGCAGCCATGGATATGTTGGTGGGCGAAGAGTCGTCTGCGAGTCAGAGTCGCAAACCTGAGATTATGTCCGATGCCGCCTATGAGATCTTATGCAAGGATAAAGGAACTTACACCGGACACTTCGCGATTGATGATGAGGTGCTCAAAGCAGCCGGTGTTACCGACATGGAGCAGTATTCCTGTGTTCCGGGATCAAAATTACTTCCGGACTTCTTCCTTGACGAAGCCATGATAGCTCTTCAAGACGACTTCACAAAGAAGCCATCGAGTAAGTCACAAGGTCGAATTTTCCGAGTTCCGACTACTTAATGTTTTCCGTGAAATGCCCGACGTTCATCTTTTTGTGAATGAATACTTTCGTAGACGTCGCCTGAATTGTTTACCATGTTTTATGCCTAGTCAATTCTGGAAAAAATTTTCATTCAGGTGACACTTGGAATTCTAGAAAACTAGCTCGGCGTTACAGGTAAGAGTTTCGTTTAAAAGTAATGGAGGCAAATGATAAACGAAAGTAGGACAAATCCTACGATTGAATTTTCTTTTGTCGATAGTCATTTTTTGTGCACGTGGAATTTTTTTTTTTTTTTCAAGCTGAAGGATCGAAACCAGCCGCATCTTCAGCAGGACCCCCGAAAACCGTTATGGATGTATTCGACAGAATCACTCCGATAATTAACGAAGAAATGATTGGCAAAATGAAGGCTTCGTATGAATTCGAGTTGAAGGGCGGAACTCCGGAAGAAGATGGCAAGTGGTTCTTGAACTTGAAAGACGCTGGAGCGAAGCCTTCCGGTCGAGGCGATAGCCCCATTGCTGCTGACGTGCATTTCACCATGAAATGCCCGGATTTCGTGAAAATGTTCTCGGGGAACTTGAAGCCCACTACAGCGTTCATGATGGGGAAGCTGAAGATCAAGGGAGACATGGGAAAGGCGATGAAGCTCGAAAAATTGATGAAATCAATGGAATCGAAGCTGTAAAGAAGGAATTTGCTGAAGGCTCTAGTGGAGATTTTATTTTTAAGCACGGGGAGAACCCTCCGAGCTCAACAATTTTCCTGTGATTTTAATCAATGCAAAAATTTCCACATTTTTCTTCATGGGAATACAATTGTGAGTTTTCAAGTTAGTTGGTTGGTTTTTCTGTCTGCGCTTTACCTCGTGTTGTATTTTGTTGGGAATAATCGAATAAATGGGATGTTTTGGGCTCTTGGTTAATGCTTATGTCGCCTGCCTATTCCTGGAAAACAGAACTTCATTTAGTAATTTTTCGATTTTTCAGGTATTATTAACTGTGATGTGTGGTTGAAAATGGGTGAAGCAATGGATGAACTTCCTGACGGGCTGAAGCCCAGTCAGGCGCCTGATCCGGTTGACGAATTCGAAGCTGCCTTCCAGGTACAGAAAATGGGGTCTTCGTCAAAATCGCTTCTAGAATACGTTGTCGTTCATCTTTATGCTCTTACTACTGTATTTGATTTTTTTTTTTCTACGTAATGTTCAAGATTCTTTATTCACAGGATAAGTTGTTTCCGTATTGCGAACTTATGGAGTGATTCGAACTCGCAACATTTTTTCAAGTTCGGAGGAGTCCCGGTTTTCCTGATGGTAATTTATTTTTGTGAATTTGTTCAGAAATGTTTGACGGTTTTGGAGAAACCGGAAACGGTTGAAAGAATGACGAGCGAGGAAATGCGTTCAGCCGTGGACAATAACATAATGCGCTTCATTGATCTCGGCCGAAGCCTGGAATCTTTCTTCCTTCGCAAACGTTTCCTCATCTCTCTGACCCAACCGGAGCAGATCATCAAAGAGGTTCGTGTGCTGAACATTGCCCAGTGTTTGTCTTCAACAATCTCTTCATTTTCCTGTGGTGGCATAGGATATCGCGGAGTTGAAAACTGAGATCCAACGCAAAGATGCTTTAATACAGCGGCATTCGGAGAAAGTAGCGTTTTGGCAGAGCCTGGTGAACAGCACTGGTCCTGTGCCAGCGACCGGCGTCTCTCCTGTGGGTCCTATGGCTGGAATGCCGGTAAGTACCACGGGGTTAATTGGACCCGGACGTCCAAAAAAAATTCCCGTCTCTCTCAAACTGAACCACGATTTCCTCTTGCGATCAATTATTTCCCGATCTACTGTAAATGTTCTCTAATGAGTAATTACGCGATTCAGGAAAGTAGTTGTGCTTTTCAACAATTTTTCGAGCTGACGTCATCCTTGAGTAACACTGGACAATGCGCCTCTAAAGGATATTTCAATGTTTTAAATTTGATATCGGATTGCATCGTTTCGACGAATGATAGATGTTTAATTGACCTAAATCAAGGGATTAGTTTCAGTCAACAAGTCGGTTAGCTTTTGATTGAACGTCATCGTTTAGGTCGCATTGAATGCATGTGCAATTTTAACACTTCTGAAATCGCATTCCATGAAGCATAGGAAATAGTGTATCATCAGAACGCAGGAGTTCAAGCGCACAATCCGATGATTCTTCATTATCTTCAATGGCACCTCTTACACGATCAAATATTCATTCACTCACTCAAATTTCAAGGTAACCTCCATTCTCAGCATCGCTATCTTGATAATTGTAGAAATTTCAACATATTTTCCTGGAACATGGTTGTTATGTCACCCGAATCTTTGGGGTATTTTAGCTGAAAAGATTTTCCAATTATTATCAGTATTCGGCAACCACGTGAGCATTAATGCAACCTGCGTAGAACCAAAGTCTTATGACAGTATATTTCGGTAGTGAGGTGTGCTTTCAACGCTCGTTTTCTTTTCATTTAAATTTTTCTGCAAAAATTCGGATTCGAGAAGTGATACAATGTTGTTTTGAAAAAAAATTACGTCCACCTTCATCCATCCAGTGGGAGACGGTCATAACTTACGAACCATAAACCAACGGTTGTACCTCAGTTTGATATCTCGTACCCTTCTCACCGAGAGGTCGAACGTTTCCGTGCGAATTTCGCGCAATTTAACTCGCTGTTCATTATACTGTATCGTCGTATTGTTGAATAATTTCCAGCAAGGAGTGCCACATGGCATGATGGCACCGGGCGGGATGCAGCAGCAAATGCGGATGATGTCTCCCGGAGCTCCGCAACACGCGCGGATGCCGGGAGCCATGCCCATGATGCAACCCCCGATGCCCGCCGGGCATTTGGCGAATCTCGAACGCGCTGCGAGCAACGTCGGCATGCAGTAATTCCGACTCAAAACAAAAATGTTGATCGAAAATAAAAACCTCAAATACCGCGATCTTCACCCAGAAAACGCACCGAGGCGTCTGGAGGTCTGAAATACGCCGTTTTTTTTTTCACGTTTGACAACAATTTGCGAGCGATTCGTGTAAGATTCTTCAGGAATCTGTGTCCTGAACCCCGGCCATATCAGCGTACTGAAGAGCTTATTGATCGACTTTGAGTTGAAGATTTCTTTGTGATCTTCTTTTTTGTCCGTTATTTATGAATTCCAAGAGGGCGTTTTCGCGGGGGGAAGGACACGATTGTTACGCTCCGACTTGCAGTTCGGCGTTTGGTGAAAAGTTTGCTTTTTTTCTAAATATCTTTCGCAGCTGTCAGCTTTTTCCGGGTTGAACCTCGAATGAATGGAGCTCAATAAATTTGTTGAGACATACATCGAGTTTTCCACGTAATAATTCAATGCGGTCTGCTTCGTTTTTAATCTCTATATACGCGTTTCGGCGCGGCGAATGATTCTGGTTTCAGGCTATTACTGTACCAGACTACCAGTGTACCTATTTCGTGAAATCATATTTTCCTGATTTCCATCCCGTTGAAGTGCTGGCATGCCTGAGAATGTTCGCCGACCATCATTGAAAAAAAGTGGCGTTTTGCTGGCAAAGAAAATCCAGCCAGTGCAAAATTTAGGCAAGGAAAGTCCAATACAATACAGTGTTCACAAATCACTCGAGAAAGCCAAGGAACTGAATAATCAAGATTACGTGTTGTATTGGGAATAAAAATGAATTCATTACACCCGGCCCTGAGCACAAAAAATCCACTAAGGAATTACGAACCTTCATGGCAAAAAATGGGGCAATGGTTCGAGAAAGTATTCGTAGAAATTTAACCGTCTCCTCATCTTTGTACCTTCGTGATCATCGTCCCCGCAGGATTTTCTCATGGAGGCTGTATAGTATGATGTAAGTACAAATCGTATGAGGAGGGGACCAGGAAGCGGTTCAGTGAAATGCAGGTACATGAAACGTTAAGTGTCGGGGTGAAAGGAAAAAAAGAGACTTCCGCTCGTTTTCCCCCCGACACGGAGAAATCCAGGTCAACGTCCCGACCTGCAATATAAGCGAGATAAAATTTGGCGCCAGACCGGGACACGGGGACAGAATTGGGATCTATTTTTGTAAGTCTCGACCTTTGTCACGACTCATTTCCGCGGGATGAATATTTCACGCGACAACGTACCCGGGCACGTGCTCTCTGAATGTCGAGAAAAACTAAAACTGCCCTCAGCAGGTCGCACAAGTGTGAACTGAACTACGAACTCCTGCTGGCGAAGGTGAGTTGTTTACATTCGGGTCTTCGAAACGGGCCTTTTAATTCGAGCGACTCTCACTCGGGCTTCATTTTCAGGTATGGGTAATGAAGCATCGATTTAGGAGCTAGCCGGAATAATCACACAGAGGCATCTCTCGGGAATCTGCTTCGTCACTGCAGCATTTTTGTGCTTTTGGCGTCAACGAGGCGCTGGTTTTTACCGAAACAAATTAGGAGTTCCGCGAGCGAGTGATTGCGAAACCCGAGCGGAGAAGCGAGACGTTAAATTTAGCCCACGTGCCTTGTCTCTTCATATATTTTGTGTCTCAGTGCGCGTCGATCAACGGATGCCCCGAGCGGAATGTCGTGATGGCGACAAGTTCATTTGGGTAACTGGTTGTTTGACAGGTGGCGCCGGGATTTCCTGCCAACCTTTAGGTGGAGCACGAGGTGTCTTGGGCTTCTTGAAAACCCTGGCCTGCGCTTTATTCGCGAGCGGGATGGTGCCGTGGTTCGGTGGTTTAGAATCGCACGCGTGGAGCCTCATCAGACAATTTGGAGTAAGGTAAAACCGATGCAACTGTATATTCGCAGACGTTATTGTCTTCGACAACAACAGCAAAAAAAAAGCGTCACTGTCGAGTCATTTTTCGTCTCAGAAAGCGCGGGAGATCATTCTCAGGCGGGGTGGTTGGAAATTTTTGCAAGTTTCTTGAAATGAAAATCTTCGGATCCCCACTTTCGTAACTTAGCATCCTCGGAATCATAGCAATAATTTAAATCAAGTTGCCCATTTTTTCTCGGGATCGTTTTCAAGTAAAACCCTGACTTGAGTTAACTTTTTGCCCTGTGATGGACATTTCTGAGTAACTCGATCATTCAACCTCGCGGATACAAAAATGATCAAGTTCTTGACTCATTTTTCAATGGAACATGATCTTGGAAATATTCGGTGTCGAATTGTCAGCAAATTTATGGCGGACGCAAATGTGGCTAATGAACCCTTTTTCACGCAAATTTCAACTATGCCTTCGCAATTATACAGCCTGGGTTAACACAAATTGGAGTTGTGGTATGTCTTCCATTGGAAGAGTTACAAATACCGGGTATATCTTTTTTTTTTTTGCATGACACATGAAGAAACAAAATAAGTTTTCGAATTTTTTTAAAAAGCTCATTCCTTTTATATTGTGGGTGAACCTTGTGTTTTATCGAACTAACGCCTGAGTTTTTGTAGGTCTCCCTGGCTTCGCATGCATTTATACTTAATTTTCGCAAATGTTTCGGATTCGAGGGCAAGAACTTTCAAGGGGTCTATTGACAAGGCTCATCGCCGGTTGATCTTTTTCTCACTTGAGAGATTTTTTTTGCCCTCGATGTTTTCAGCGTTGAAAAAGCGTCTCAATTCGCAGCAGTAAATTTTGTGCACGGGGTTCTTGTATCCGAGGCAGCCCGGAGTTGTGCTCGCCACTCCGACTCATCGTTCATATTCACGCATCGGATCTCTAGCCAAAGAAACTTATGTGAACCTGAAAATGAGAGAAACTTTTTTCATTTACTTCCCGGTTGCATTTTCTGTCAATTTAAAATCCTAGCACCATATCCCTGTTGCCGAATTACTGAAGTAAATTATTCTTGAACCATATAGGCTGAGTAAACTGGGTCTAATGTTCCAGCGACTCGTCGTCACGGAATGTCCTTTTTTCATTCTTCGAGGTTTTTAAAGTAGAAGCGCGCTAACCTGAAAAACGTAACGAAATGTATCTAAAGCATCAACTGACGAAAGGCGATTATCCAAACTAATAAAACAACTAATGTTATTTTTAACCGAATCCACATAATCTGGTAGCCCACACGAATGTTCGTGTTCGTTGTCTCAAGTTTCGCATGGCTGTTGATATTTCTCAATTTACTTTAGGTATCCAATGAAAATTTTTCGGAGTGTCCCAAAATTTAGGATGCCTGGAAAATTTCTCTGAATTTTTGTCTAATTTGACATGGGATGACGAGAAACTAAAAAAATGTTGATATTGTAGTAGCCGAAATTCAGCCTTCTTGCTCAGTTTTAGTTGAGTAACTTTCAACAGGTCAACCATGTTTTTTAAGGTTGACATAATTGATAAGAGCTGTCTGGGCAATTTTTGAAAACGTGGTGCTTTGCTGAATTTGTGTGTGAATAAAAGAGGATAGAGAGTGACAACAATACAGTACATTCGAGTCATTCTGAGGGCGGTAGTCGTGAAAACCGTGTGTTCCACGGCAAGGTCGTGGAGAACTAAGTCAAGCTGTCTTCCTGTCACAATTTGAAAGTGTTACTCTGAATACTCTCGCTTTGAGAAAAAAAGAGGATGCAGTATTCCCGAGTCAAATTTTATTCAAGATAAATTATGCTCAGTACTTTGACTGTTTGGATGCATTAATGCGCAGAAGTGCTGCGGGAACAAATGCAAAAACATAAAAATAGTGGGGTTTTAGACTCAGTTGTTACTCTCATGCTAAGGTTCGTCCAAAGCGTCACAACCATTTGGTATTAACAAAAAACAAAACAAAAACAAAAAAAGTTCACACACGCGCGAAAACAAAACCCGCGGGCGATGCGTGGGTTTCGAGAAATAAATTTCAATCGATTGCGTCATCCTGTCCTTCATGTGTCTGTCTCATTGGCAACGACGTTATACTCTGGTTCAATTAGTTCCTTTTTTCCCCATCTCGTACTGTACATGTTTGCGTTTCAAGTGGGCGAAGAGAGGAAAAAAGAGGAAGTGGTGCGAACCCGGTGAACCTACGGATATCGGGATGTGTCAAGAGCAACACTTTGGTGGAAGCCGACTATCTTCGTTGCGCGCCCGGGAACTGTGTCAGGCCGTGAGCGCTGGTTTCGCGAAGCCGTACTGCGCAGTACTTGTTGGGAGCCCGTGAGAGGTTTTGGGATCACGCCGTCGCCTAACGTCGCCGTGATTGATGCGAGCCGGGCGTTGTTCGTCGCGACGGCGGCCGCGGGTGGAAGCTATATAATACGCGACTAGACGGTCGTCTCCACAGGGACCGGGGGAGAAAGAAGGAAGAACAAACGTTTCCGGCCGCTCAATCACGGAATTCTTCGGTTTGGCTCTGATGTGGCCGCTTTTCAATCATCAGAAGCGGAATCGTATGCATCCCCGGAGGTATTTCAGGGATTTGACGAATTATTGCACGGCGTGATCCGTTTCAGGAAAGAAGTCGTCGTTGTCGTTCGTTGTGTGGGTCTAATCGTGGCGTGCAAATTTGCTCTGGGGAGAGGGGGCTTTATGTGTTGCGTCCTTTGAAGAAAAGGCAATTGCTTTTCATCGTCACCGAACTTCATTTCTCCAAAAAAGTAGAAGAAAACTTTACATCTGTCAAAAAGCGACGACACGATGATTTTTTTTGTATCTATTGAAATGCCTCGCGCCCTTGTTTAATGTTTGCGCCTTCAATTTTTTACGGTAAAATTTTGCCTCAAATCCTATCCCCGCGTAAGACACGAACCTCAGTCTTCAAGGGATCAGGGATTATATTTTTCTGATGTCTGGAATTTCAACAGCTTTCAAGTTTTCATATTCTGTACAAAGTATACAGGTATATCTAAAAAAATGAGTTTTACATTTCATCTCCCTTTGTTTCCAATTTTATGTGAATTTTTCGTTTGTTTTACCGCATTTACGCAGGTACCAGCATGCGCACTTCTTTTCAAAATTATGAGAGTTGGAAGAGTGGCGTAATGGGTGAATATGTAATTTTTAAAATTTATTTGAAAATATTTATCGGATGTGTCAAGCATTCTAAGAGAAAATTTGATCAATTTGGAGAAAAAATATTTTCAATGGGGGACATTAAAAATTAATTCAATTTCGGTCAAAAGTTGAAGTCTGGTGTGTTTTATTATTTTTTTTTACATTTTTTTTTCACTGAAAATGAGGTGCGTGTCTTACTCAGAGATGGGTTTTAATCCGAATTTTACGATGAAAAAATCAGGTGCGCTTCCGTGAAGGTATGTGATACTTGAGGAAATCAATACACTGTATTTTTGTATTTTTTTTATCTGAAATAATCAACTGTTATATTCATTTTGATAGCTAGATTCACTCCAATTGAATTAAACTTCC